TTTCTCTTTCGCTCTCTCGCCCCCACGCTCTCTCCACACATAATACCTGTTCTTTTCTCTCCTTTTTCGGGTACCACCCCAGAAATATTGCAGTTACGGTAAAAGGTGCGGGATTTGGGGCCCCTAGCCCTTGACGAGCCATGGGATTTGCGCGTAAACGGGGAGTGGTGTGGCCCGGAAAAGCGGGCCATATTGGAAATCCACCCTCGAAATCGTGACAATATTCCGGCGATCTGCCTCCGCCCCACACTAAACCCCACACCCAACGATAATCCTCGAACTTTCGGCGGGTGTAAAAGGAGCCCGACGGATCGGCAACTTTATGCCGCAAATTCTGTGTGGCTAATTATTTGAGCAGAGGTTGAGGTAATTTTTGAAGTTATGGAGCCGAAGCTTAACAAGGAGTCGCTTTTAGGTGCTTTTGGAGTTTCGGGACGGGACCTAGCTAGTTCGATAGAGAAAAAAATTCTGAGCAACATCCCGTTTTCAAAAAGTGCTGATCGATAAAGCTGTTTTAGAAAATTTAATTTAATAAAAAATGTTCCCGGTGTCTGAACCTTTGTGGTGATTAGAGGTGATTTGCGGCGGTCGTTCGCCCTTGCCACATGAGGACTTCACGCGCCTTGGATCTCGTACTATGCATGGCCAAGTGGCTAGTGCGTTGGCCTACGAAGTTTTTTTGACCTTTTTCCACAAGTTCGATTCTTATTTACCGTTAACTCTTTGCTTTTTTGCTAATTAAAATTTTATGCACCGATAACGGGCTCAAGAACCAAAAAGCAAAGGGTTAGCCAGCGCGAAGATTCGAACCCGAGGCAAAAAAATGTTAAAAAGCCGGTAGGCAAGCGCGCTACCAATACGCTAATGCAACCTGTGATGGAGGCATTGGCGGAGGGTTACGAATGGCGCCCTGCCCAGCCCCGAAAACGTCGTGAACCGAGGAAATGGACCCGAAAACTAGAAGAAAACGCGAACTTTAAATTAAATTTTCTAAAATTCCTTTATCGATCAGCACTTTTTGAAAACGGGATGTTTCTCAGAATTTTTTTCTCTATCGAACTAGCTAGGTCCCGTCCCGAAACTCCAAAAGCACCTAAAAACGACTCCTTGTAAGCCTAAACCTAAGCCGAAGCAGAAGCCCAAGGCTACTATGGAAATTCAGTGGAAACTTGAGAAAATGGCTTCATCCATCCCTCACGGGTCCTTAAAATTCAATTATTTTGGCTTTAGGATCTTGGCTTTGGCTTAGGCTTCGGCTTAGGCCAAGGTTTAGGCGAGGCGGGCCTGGGCTTAGCTTAGGCTTAGGATTCGGTTTAGGTTTCGGCAGCAATGTACCATCTTTTCCAAAATCATTAAAAACTTGGAAAAATTTGATAAATTGGGGGGGTCCATAATTTTACAAAATTTTCAAAATTTCAGAATTTTTGAGTTAGGTAGCTTATTTTATAGAGAATTTTTTTTCTGAACAAGATGCACTATCTGGTTTTGTCTAAAACCTATTCCGAAGCCTTTTATGTCTATCGGAAGTGGCCGATTTTGGGCTGTTTTGAGGTTTAAATCGTTCATAACTTTTGAGAAATGGCTATTCCGCAAAAACGGTTGACATATTCGGAATCAGCGTAAAATTCTGCACAAGATAGGCCTGGTCCCGTGTCAAAGTCCCGACGACACTCAAAAACGTCTCCCTGTCAGACATGGGTTTAGACTTAGGTTTAGGTTGCTTAGACTTCGGCTTCGACCTTTACTTAGGCTTAGGCTTAAGCGTAGGCTTAGGTTGGGACATTGGCTTACGTTTAGCCCTAGGCTTCGGCTTAGGCTTAGGATTAGGCTTAGGCTTGGCTTAGGCAATGTTCGGGCTGCAGCTTCCCCAACCATCATTCCGCCCTTTTCAAAAGGCCCGCAACTGGCAGTGAATTCTGGGGAATTCATCCCCTCGTCTGGCCTATGGAATTGAATTGACGACCCCAAAAGGGCCAGGGCCCCGATATAGGCAGTCGGTGTCTGCCTGTGTGTATGTCGTGTGTGTGATAGATTGAAGAGTCAAATGGAAAAGGCCCAAATTGAGTGCGGGCACGATGCCCTCCCCACCGGGCCCTACGTGGTCTGCCGTATTCTCTCGTACTGCCAATTTTGATCGTCCACCGGATCGGGGCGTACTCGTGTATTTATGGAATTAAGGAGTGGCTTGTGTCTACACCTGTCCTCATCTTGGCAATTTGCTAATTAGGGCCCTTCTTGGGGGCGCTGGGATTGACCTACGGTAATCCGGGTTGGTTCCCCAAAAATCGCTGCTAGCTTGTTATCTATTTTCCCCTAAGAATCCCTGCTAACTACCCCCGTCCTTTTTGTGAGCTAAAAGTCTCTGCTGGTTTGCTCTCTGCTTTTTCTAATTTTCCCAAAGAATCTCCGCCAGTTTTCCAATTCTCTCACAATCTCTGCTCGTTGACCCGCCCTGAATTCGCAATTTTCCTCAAAGATCTTAGCCTGCTTGCCTACTTTGCTTGCCTAACTCGGTTAGGCTTAAGCTTAGGTTGGTTTAAGCTTATGCTACATTGAAGCTTAGGTTTCGTTGAGTTTCGCTTCGGCTTATGACTGGACTCAGACTTAGGTTTAGGCTTCGCTAAGGAGTAGACTTAGGGTCAAACTTCGTTTAAGCTCAGGCTTCATTTGTACTTCGGCTTTGTTTGGGCGTCGCTTTGCTTAGGATTAGGCCGAGGCTTATGCGTAGACTTTGGCTTAAGCGTGGGCTCAGATCATAAACGCATTAATGGTAAATTCTTTCCGATTACCATTTCGATTCCAGTTTCGATGCCAGGGTCTCTATTCCTCGATTCGGTCCTCATCGCCGCCAGCCGGGCCCTTTTGTCCTCCCCCTTTAATTAAACCTCATCAACGGCGGTCGGGGGGTGGCTGTGGCTGTGGCTGGGCCTCGCTGCCCTCCCTCTGTGCGATGACCGAATGTCATTCCACCGGCTGTAGGGGAGGAGGACGAGGAGGAGAAGCCCATTCTGCACACCATACATTCACTGCTGTGTCCATGGATTCCGGCCACGCATCAGTACTGTTTCCATAAATGGGCGGGTAAGGCGTGGTTATCGATTTTTTTAGAGGCTACCTGCTTAGGCTTAGGCTAAGCTTAGGTTAGGCTTAAATTTAGGCTTAGGCTTAGGTTTAGGTTAGGCTTAGGCTGAAGTTAGGCTTAGGCTTAGGCTTGGGCTTCGGTTGCGGTTCAAGCTTCAGCTGGATTTCAGCTTAATCGTGTGCCTAGCTTCAGCCTCTAGGCCTCTTTCGGAGGTTTCGTTTTGGCTCTGACTTGCGCGGCTTAGCTTTAGCTTAAGCTTTGACTTAACTCTCGAACAAGCTCCTTACCTCGTTAAAAACCCCTGCTAGCCTGCCAAAACGTGATTTTCATGCGCATTTGCTAGCTCGGTTGCAGAGAAGATTCTAAAATGATCTTTGCTAGTTTGCCTAGGAGCCTTTTAGCCAATTTCGCAAACCATCGTCGCTAGCTTAGGAGCTGTTTTCCAAATCTCGCAAATGATCTCTGCTAGCCTACCACCATATGCCGAATTCTAAACCAAATGTTTCCCCCAAAAACCTCAGCAAGCCTTCGCTAGATTTCATTCAACCCTGCCCCAAATCAATTGTCCCAGTCCATACTAATTCCACGTACCATTTCCACCTGCCCGGGGGGTCCGCTGTGGGCCCTAAGCCAGTCAGTGCCTTCCCCGTGCTCCGGCTGGCTTGGTGGCTGCCAATTTCCGCTTTGCTACTAATTTCCACCCTCGCACTCACATCCGCATTCTGATATTCTAGTGCGAGTTTCGTTCGCTATTGCTTCTACTATTTAAATTTTCGATAACGCAATCAAACATTTGTCTGATACATCTTCTTTAAACTCCCAAAGGATCTCTGCTAGCTTGCCGCTCTTCTTAGGGCCTACAATGTTTGCTGGGCAGCTGTCGGAGCTTCTGGAAAAATCTCTGCTAGCCTATCTTGCTACTTTTTACTGTATCCCAAAAAAGCTTATGTTGCCTCGATTAAAAATTCTTGCATCTTCTAAGAATCTCTGCTAGTACCTCCTAAATTTATTTAATTTCGAAATCGTCCTTATTGCTGTTACTACGTCACTTTAGGATATGATACGGTACGGTACGATAAGATACGAGCGTACGAAACGCTACACTTTGCTACAATACTTCAATACCATACGATACGATACGTTACGATTCGATACGTTACCATGCGATACGATACGATGCGTTACCTTACGATACGATGCGATACGATACGTTACCTGTTACCTTATGTTACGAAACGATACCTTACGTACGAAACGTTACGCTTCGCTACGATGCATCCTGACGAACTATACCTCTCGTCAGATACAGCAGGATACGCACGTCAAATTATGTCAGTAAGTTAGACTCGCCGTTGCGATGCGCTCCAATATGTTGCTACGCCTCAAAATAACCTTGTGCTACGCTACGCTACTCCTTACGCAAGGATACGCTAGGTGCGCAAGTTTATGCGATCGGACTATGCGCTACCCCGGCCCATCGATCCAACCCCCTTCTCCTTCCTATAAAGTGTCCTGGGGCGATCGGTATTCTCCAGTTAATAGCACGCCCACCGACTGCTGTTATTGCTCGAGAATACTCATTGCCCGGCGCTTAACGAGATCCTTTTAAAAACCGAGGCTACAATATTACAGTTTTTTTTAGGTAATTTTAGGTAATTCATATGCCTAAAATCCCAATTTTAATCGATTTAGATTTTTTGATAAATACTGTAGCTCCAAATCCTTATTTTTATAGCATTTATCGTTCATAATTCAATCGAAAAATACCCGTGAGTATGAAAGTAATATTACTCATAGTGATATTAATAATTAAATATCAATATAATAAATGCGACATATTCGAAACCACAGTTGCGTCAATAGTATACGAGCGGAATACGAATAATTTGAAGCGTTGCGTAGTCGATACTCAGGGTTAATGTAGCTGCGGGCGTGGCCCGGTGCCACTCGCGTCGCTTTGAGCATAGCGGAATGAGTCGGACTCCACAAAGGGGCGGCGTTTTCTGAAGAGTATTGGTAATCATAGGCTTAGGATTGGGCTTAGGCTTAGGCTTCGGCTTAGGCTTAGGCTTAGGCGTAGGCTTGAGCTTACCGGAATGTAGTTGCTGATAGCGTATTCGAAAGACAACACGGCCAAACGATCAAATTCCAGTCGATCGCGAAGAGATCTTGCCAGCCGGATACACCGGAAACGACGACACACACGAGGGTGAACACCTAAGGTTATTATAGTTTACCTTTCCGTCTCTTTCCCTCTCTCTCTCTCTCCCTCTCTCTCTCTCTCTCTCGCTCTCTCCCTCTCTCTCGCCGCTTACCATTGTCAAAAACAGCGGCACAAAATCCAATGGAAAATCGGCCATCGTGTTGTAGAAAACACCGTGCTGGCCGTCGTCCAGGATTTGGTACTCGTCGAAGAGGTGTGCCGTGCAGTTGTTCTAAAGTTTAGAGATCGCTTTCTCTCTCTCTTTGCCTCCCTCTCGTTCTCTCTCTCTCTCACTCTCTCGCTGCCAACCTCAAGTTTTGGCAGCGGATTCTTGGCGATATTTGCCCAAAATGTCGAAAATATCAGTGCTCCGCAGAGCGCCAACCCGGCGAAGCAGCCCTAAAATTGAAATTGCATTTTTGAGATAAGCTTAGGTTTAGGCTTAGGCATATTCTTAGGCTTACCTTCAAATTTGTAAACGGCAAAAAGTATCCGCATGCAAAGCAGCCGGTCACCAGCGCCGCGAAAGATCTATAAAAATGCCAATTACCGTATCAACAACGAGCACTTACAGTAAGATGTAGAAGCTGATGGGCAGGAATTTCGCGTACGATACTGGCGATAGGCCGACACCCAGACTCAGCAGTATCAGGGTTACCGTAACTTTCAGGGCCGTTGCCTAAAAGAAATTGGTTTTAAGGGGCGTTGAAGTTAAGCTTGTTTTATTTAAGCTTAGGCTTCGCTTTGGCTTAGGCTTAGGCTTCGACTTAGGTTTACCTGCAAAGCGCATAGCTGCTGCACCTGCGGCCATTCCTTGAAGTGTGGCTTTAGGAATTCCTAAAATAGTTGGAGTTTTGGGTTACCGTAGCTCACGGGTTCTCTAAGGATCTCCGCTAGATTGCGCTCTTCTTTAAGGGTTCCTGCTAGCTTGCGCTCTTCTCTAAGAATCCCTGCTAGCTTGCCCACTTCGCTAGGAATTTCTGCTAGAATCCCCCGCTGAAAGCGCTGAAAGCCCCGCTGCGTTTAAAACCCAAAACCCACCTCCCAAATCGTCGACACCAATCCGACAAAGATCCATTGATAAGCAAACATTAGGAGCAATACGAGAGATACCGAAACGAAAAAGGACAAAAATTGGGCCCGGGGGACCTGAAAAGCCGTTAAGGCTTAATATTTACTATGGCTCACCGTAAACCGAATAAATTCGAGTAGGCTGGCTGCGGAATAGGAGAGACGACAGTGTTCTTGTAGAAAATGAGTGAAGATTTGGGCGATGAGGAAGGTGAATGATGAGAGAAAGACGAGGAATGCCGCATGAAGGGAGAGGCAAAGACGAAGCTTATGACGGGTCGAGAGGGAGAAGTACATCTGGAAGAATTTCGGGTACGCTTCGCTTAGGCTAGGCTTAGGCTTAGGTTTCAACTTTACTTAAGCCTAAGCTACGGTTTGGGTGCATGAGTCGGCTTCGCTTTTTGCCAAAGCCTGACTTGATTTTGCCTTTTCATTTTTGTCAGCTTGACTTGGGTTGGCTTAGTGTTGTGGGGCCAGCTCGCTGGACCACATTAGACTCGCCTATCTCCTGTTCCACCTGTCCCAATTTCTCCTAGGAATTCGTACTTTGTTTTTGTACAAGGGGAGGTGTTGTGGTGTCAGCTTTGCTGGACCACAATAGATCCTCTTTCCCCCGGCTGTCCCTCCTATCCAGTGGGTAAGCCACCGGCGCGCGCCCCCTTGCGGTCGCGTCGCGTGCGCCACTTCCCGCCTAAGACTAGATTGTATTATCTCGTTGCGGGTCCACTTATCGGCACAGACTAGCTCTGTTGCCGATCCTCCTGCCACCATTTATGTAGATAAACAGTTGTTCGATAACTGTACGTCCAAGCGCATTCTACATCATTCGACTACTCTGCGAGGATCACAACAACTGGCGATCAGGATCAAGAACTCACGCAAGATCAAGGGATGCCCCAGCCAACAAGCCACTCGAGCCCGAGAACGTGATCAAGGATGAAGAAAGAAGGTGGAGAAGCGCAAGAAGTCAAGTCAAGCCGACGAGACAAGGACCAAGAAAGCGACAAGGTCAAGGAGAGCGACAAGGTCGAGGTCAGGGACGTCTACATGGTTGGCGAGCGACAAGGAAGAAGGCATGGCGAGAAGATCAAGAAGCAGAGCGTGCTGATGCCGGCGGGCCCATCGATGGATGATGTGCCGGTGCCGCTCGTGCAGGATCAATGGAAAGGGAGGTGTTTTGTTCCCCTTTTTGCCCCCACATTTCCGGGTGGAGGGCACGCTGCCGTTGTCGAAGAAGGAGGAGGGTGCAAGTGCCTGAAGTGCCCGGCGTCCGGCCGCCGTTTTGCCCCAAGGACCGCCCAAGCCGCGAAGGTAGCAGAAGATGAGGAAGTTGGTTAGTCCTCAACCAACAAAAGGACCGAAGGAGGTGCGCGTGTCAAGCCCAAGGCCGCGTCTACAAGTGAAGCCGATGAAGGAAAGAAGGAAAAGAAGGTGCCAAGAAGGAGGACGTGAAGGAAGGCGATGAAGGTGAAGGAAGGACGTTGTCGGTGATCGTCTCGCTGCGCGTCATCAAGGAGTGAAGGAATAAGCAGATATTTTTTTTTTCTTAAACTTTATTGTGCTTTTCACTCGATTCCTATCCCGGTCCCTCCAATCTACACTTGTTTTTTGTGTAAGGGGAGGTGTTGTGGGGCCAGCTCGCTGGACCACATTAGACTCCGCCTATCTCCTGTTCCACCTGTCCCAATTTCTCCTAGGAATTCGTACTTTGTTTTTGTACAAGGGGAGGTGTTGTGGTGTCAGCTTTGCTGGACCACAATAGATCCTCTTTCCCCCGGCTGTCCCTCCTATCCAGTGGGTAAGCCACCGGCGCGCGCCCCCTTGCGGTCGCGTCGCGTGCGCCACTTCCCGCCTAAGACTAGATTGTATTATCTCGTTGCGGGTCCACTTATCGGCACAGACTAGCTCTGTTGCCGATCCTCCTGCCACCATTTATGTAGATAAACAGTTGTTCGATAACTGTACGTCCAAGCGCACTCTACATCATTCGACTACTCTCCGAGGATCACAACACTTAGGCTTAGGGTTAGGATTTTGCATAGGCTTAGGTCCTTGGCTTAGGCATAGGCTTAGGATTGGTCTTACGCTTCGTTTAGGCTTAGCTTAGGCTTAGGCTTGGGCTTAGTCTTAGGCTTGGAATTTCCCCTTTTTAAACTCTAAAATACCTGATACATCGACTGCCCGGCCGCCAATTGATAGAATCCCATAAAAAATCCAATAACCAAGCTCGCCACGATTTTGTAGAAACTAAAATATTGAGTTTTTTAATACCGTAATCGCCACAAACCTGAATTGAAAAGTGACAATTTCACTGAACGAAGCCACCTCTTCAAGCCCAAAATAAATAAATATTCCACAGCCAGCTGTTAGACACTAAAAGTAGGATTTTTGTAGATAAAAAGAAAGATTTTGGATTTGAATTGAATACACAAAATACAGCTTTAATTATATTTAGGCAAATACTTACGGCTAAAAAGATGAAAAACACGGGCAACATCAGCATGGCCTGCCCGGCAAATACCGTTGTTAATAAGCTCAACGAGGCTATTAATGGAGCCTAAAATGTAACAATCGAAATTCACAAAACTTTCTTACCAATAAATAGAATGGGAATTTAGAGATGGCGCTCAGGAGCGAGCTGGTGAACATTAGATAGAAGAACAGCACCCCGAGGGAAATGACGATTTGGATGACGGCCACGGTTTGTTGCACTAAAATCACTTAGTAAATGAAGTTTGAAAAGAGTACACATTAAATCTTTGCTTTAGAGAAAAACCCGATTTTTTTATACCTTTAACTATACTTTTTATTTGCTTGGTCTCGAGGGCATGCACGAACATTTGTAGCTCATTCCCAAATTTGTAACGTTTTAAGGTACAAATCTCAAAAATATAAACAAAACTAGAAACCCTCAAAAATGCAAAAAAGACCTCATGTTGTAAACAGCCAAAGTAACATCTCAAACGGTCAGACGGTAATTCGTTTCATCCCGGGTCAGCCAGATAGGGCATGGTGGGGGCCTTTTTATACCCCCCTGCCGCGGAGTGGGCCAGGAGCCGCGCGTTTCGGGGACACAAGAGGAGCAAGTTCTTGACCAGCTTTTTTATGTGTTTTTGCACAAATTTCGATGCCAATAATTGGAAAATTTCTTTTATAAGTTTGCAGTTTTTAACTATAATATTATTTTTAGAAATAGATTAGCTTGTTTGGCTCGAAACTCACAAAATTCTTTACCTATGTGTTTCAAAATGAATTGGTTCTTATTCTCTGAAAATCGTATGATCTTTTGTAGTTGTTAATGCATATAATTTAGTAGTATTCAAACTCACACGTTTCCGATTGGAACCGCAGCTTCAAGTACATAAAAATACTGGGCGACGGAATGTAGTGCAGGATTTTTGTGACGGTGAGGGAGACGGAGAGGAGGGCTAGCAGATTACTAAAAAATTATAGCTAAAAAATGCTAATTTTTTACTTACCCTATTAAGTAAAAGAGACTGCTAGGTCCCGGGACGGCCAGGCACCAGAAGGCGAATGGGGGGAGGGAGATTAGAGACATCGAAAGGGCCACACGCCATGGTGAAGAGGAAAGGGTGCCCTGGAATCGGGAGGCTTAGACTACGAACGATGCCAGACTTCGGTTTAGGCTGGCTTAGGCTTCAATTAAGCTTAGGTTTAGGCTTAGGCTTACCTGCTGAAAGTTGATAGGGCTATTCAAATTCGCTAGTCGAATCCCGCAAGTCGCGGTTAATAACGGAATAATAGCAAGTAGAAATAGAGGCGAGGCGTGAAGGAATTCATTTTGGCTCCATCCCATAGTAGAAAAATGAGCTTGGCTGAAAAGCAATTAAATCAAAACCAATAAAAATGGCGAGATAGAGAAAGAGAAACTGAGAAAGAGAGAGAGAGAGAGAGAGAGAGAGAGAGAGAGAGAGAGAGAGAGAGAGAGAGAGAGAGAGAGAGTGAGAGAAAGGCGAGAGTTAGCAAGCTGTCAAAATGTAAAAAAGGAAACACGATCGAACAGACTTCAAAATCTCCAAAGCCCCAGAAACGAATCCCAAAATCCAAAAGAAAGGATGTTCCGCGGAGACGAGCTAAAGAAAAACGGACCGCCCGTGTTTGTTTGCTTATTTGTTTGTGTATGTGTCGATGTCTGTGTGTCGAATATGAGTGCTTCCTGTTCGCCCGTTCCAGCCGCAGGAGCCCCAGAAAGGGGAGGGTCGACGGTTTTTATAGGACAATTCAAGACGATAGTATCCCTGCGGAACGTCTCTATAAACACGGCAACTCGTCTCTCCCTCTTTCCCTCTCTCTCTCTCTCTCTCTCTCTCTCTCTCTCTCTCTCTCTCTCTCTCTCTAAATCGTGGATCTCAATGTATGTCAGCCGCCCTGTAACCCGGGGCTATTTGGGGATTTTGAGGGCTAAAGGAGGGTGGAAAAAGTTGTCTCCCAGAATCGGTAGCCAGTGAGTCACGTGGAGAATAACTGGAATCTGACTACGATACCGGCATATCGATACACGAGTGGTTAGTGACGACTAAAATGACTAATCGGGGTAAGAGAGAGAGCGAGGTAGAGAGCGAGCGAGAGAGAGAGAGAGAGAGAGAGAGAGAGAGAGAGAGCGAGGTAGAGAGGGAGAGCGAGGTAGAGAGAGGGAGGGAGAGCGAGTTAGTGAGAGCGGAAGACAAAGACCGGGGAACGAGAGAGTTTGAGAGACAGAGCAATAGCGTAGCGATAGAGAGAGAGAGAGAGAGAGAGAGAGAGAGAGAGAGAGAGAGAGCGACAAATAGATACAGAGGGCGAGAAAGAGAGTGACCAAGAGATTGAGTGAGTGCGAGAGAGTGAGAGATAGTGGGCAAGAAATTGAGTGAGTACGAGATAAAGAGAGAGAGAGAGAGAGAGAGAGAGAGAGAGAGAGAGCGAGTGAGTGAGAGAGAAAGAGAGAGAGGGAGAGAGCTAGTCCGAGCGCGGTAGAAAGCTGAAGCTTTCTGTCATGCACCCTTTAGCCAAAACGAAACAAAAAAAACATGAATGGCTCGTTGAGTGGTCGGAATAAATGGTTAAATGGTTGGGAAGAAGCAGAAGCGAGTCCAAAGTAATTAGCACACCTCCTCCCTCCCCTTCCAGCCGATGTTTGTTGTGGGATTCACCACCTGGGTGTGTGGGGGTTTAGATTGGGGTGGGCTGGGCTAAAAGACAGACTGACTGGAGGGCCTGTTTCCTAAAACTTGCCCCATCAAATCTGAACCCCGCGGAAGAGACACACAAACGCATCAACTAGCTCAAGCCAGCTAACCAGATAGAAGCGCCTTCACCCCCACAGTCAAATCCCTTTGCAAATTGCCCCTCACTGGAATGCATGGGAATTTCGGGAACCGTTGCCTTTCGGAAATTCACGGGTATTTGGATTTCAGTAAAAAGATGGGGTAAGTGCTTAGGCTTAGACCGAAGCTGCCGCTTATGGTTTTCGGCTTGGCTTGGCTTGGGCTTGGCATGGCTTCTTGTGGTGTGTGGGAGAATTAGAGCGTAAGATAGAGAGAGCGAGAGCGAGAGAGAGAGCTATAGAGGGCGAGAGCGATCGAGCAAATGGGAGAGTGAGAGAGACAACGCAATGTCGAGAGGTAGCGAGTGAGACATAGAGATGCAGAGATGAAAATCCGCTAAAAAATGATGTAGCCAACATAACATTTGAATTGTAACAAAAAAGTTCTTTCTTCTTAAGGAAATATCCAGGAAAATGTTATGGCGCCGATATTTTTATTCCAAAGTTGCCTAATTCGAAATTCGATAATTTCGAATCGAAATCGTATATTTTCTAAACAACTTTAAGCAATTTTTTCATATTAAAGAGACCGGCAAGGCACACAACTAAAAGCAAAAATGCAAATTGCCAATAAGGCGACCTAAAAACTACCCTAAAACCTCGTGTATAGGTCCGGTACAATTTGGTTCCGTACCAATACAAATGACACCAAATAATGTGCGTGGTGTACAATTCGGCCCAAAAGCTATGTAAGCCAAAAGAGCCGGTTCTCAGGGCCTCATGCAGCAATTTCTTTCATTAAACCACTCAAATTGTTGGAAATAGTCGAAATACGAACAAATATTCCATCAAAATTGCAAAAATACCATTCGTGAGCGGCGTTATTTGCAAGAAACCGAAAAAACGAAACACACCTAATGACGGTCATACGGAATTACGGACGCTCCGTACACATGAAAATTTTCACCCGGAACTATACACGGGGAGGACCTATACACGAGGTTTTAGGGTATATTTTCTTGCCATTACGCGAAATGAAAGGGACCAAGCTAGCAAAAAAAATAGGTTCGAATCCCCCTGGAACTGATAAAATCATCCCCAATTCGCACGTGAAGCCAGAGGAAGCAAAAGAAGGGCGAAAGCCTAACCTGGGTCCTCCGAGAGGTCGAGGGGTGTAATAGAAACACACACGCAGCACACACTCACACGCCATTGAGGAGTGACGCTGCAACATGCCCTGGAGGGCACAAAAGAAAGGTTGAAAGTCGAGGGGGACCCCGAAAATACCTGGGCCACTTGGTGGGGCAATCAATCATTGGCCCATCTAACTTCAGCCTGTACCTGACGCATAAGAAGCGGCATTTACCTTGCAGTTTGCAGGGTTTTGAAGGGAGTGGGACTCGAAAAAACTAGCATGAGCTTGCCTTAGGCTTAGACGTAGGGTAAGATAAGGCATGTGCTTACAAGGAGTGCCCTTTTAGTGTATCGGCAAAACCTTTCACGACCTAGCTCATTCGATAGAGAATTGAATTCTGAACAAGCTCCCGTTGTTCGTTTTTTGCGGAATGGCTGTCTCCGATTTTATAAAATTAAAAAACTAAAAACAGGATTTTTGGACCTCGATGCTCGCGCCAGCCCCGGAAGCGCCCCCGGGGGAAGAGCCGCTCTGACCTCTCCCCACCACCAGTAAGCGTGGCGCAGTGGCTAACACCGCTGCCCACCGAACTTTTTTTGCGATTCAGGCAAAAGTTCGAAACTCACGGCAACAATTCTTTTTGCTTTTTGGATTTTGACTGCGCTGGGTTCATAGGTCAGCGGCTATTTTATTTGAAGCAGAGACAATCGAACAATCCTTTGTGAGAAAGCCTATGTTTTTGAAAAACATGCGCTAATTAAGAATCTAGTTGGTGCAAGCCGGCTTTTCTCAAAAATGCACATGAAACGGCCATGAGGGGTTCCAAGCGTAACCTTATTCAAAAAGCAAAAAGAATTGTTGATTTGAGTTTCGAACTTTTGCCTGAATCGCAAAAAAAGTTCGGTGGGCAGCGGTGTTAGCCACTGCGCCACGCTTACTGGTGGTGGGGAGAGGTCAGAGCGCCTCTTCCCCCGGCGGCCATTTTGGGGGTGGCGCGAGCATCGAGGTCCAAAAATGCTGTTTTTAGTTTTTTAATTTTATAAAATCGGAGACAGCCATTCCGCAAAAACGAACAACGGGAGCTTGTTCAGAATTCAATTCTCTATCGAATGAGCTAGGTCGTGAAAGGTTTTGCCGATGACACTAAAAGGGCACTCCTTGTTAGGCTTACGTCAGGCTTAGGCTTAGGCTTAGGTTAGGATTGGCTTCGCTTAAGCTTTAGGTTGGGTGTAAGCTTAGGTCAGGCATGGGATGAGGCTTAGGCTTAGGACTAGGTTACGGCTTAAGCTTACGCCTAGGCTCAGGTTAGGCGCAGGCTGAGGCGTCAGCTTAGGCTTACGCTGTGGCACTGGCTTCGCTTGACTTAGGCTTAAGCCTAGTTTCGGCTCAGGCTTCGGCTTAGCTTCCTCATTCGCTTCGACTTGGCTTGGCTTTAAATATGAACTTAGACCAGGCCTAGCTCAAGCCTCAGATTAACCAAGTCTAAAATTCTCAGCTTACCTAGCTTTGGCCGGGATGAACTTAAGTCTAATCTAGGCGTAGATGTACTCAAACTAGCTAGCTGCGATGCGACCTTAGGTTTAAGCTTAGGCCTCGCGCTACCGAGAATGCCATTTCTGGCCAAGAAAAACATCAGGATTACGGTAAGAAACTGGAAAATGGATCCATCGATACAGCCCAGTAAATCGCTGACGAACCCAAAAACACGTATTTTCTTGCGCTACAGTACAAAAAACGGGTCGCGGGTGGTGCCCTGGCCATCTGCATCATTCAGCACAAGGGGGGGCGAAAGTGAGAGTCAGAAGGGGGTGAGGTGTCAGTGTTTGTATGTAGACAAGAGGAGGCCGCTTCCCTTTCCTGGATCCTTTTTTGTGGTCCGTCTCTGTCTGTCTCTCTCTCTCTATCACCCTCTACACTACGCTCCTCTGTACAGCACTTGAATGCACCTCCCGGTCGCGATGGTGCGCATCAGCAGCTGGCTTCTGACATTTACACATAAGGACTGGGGGAGAGAGAGAGGGAGAGAGAGAGAGGGAGTGGCCGAGAGAGATATGGAGAAAGAGTGGGATAGCGAGAGACAGACAGAGAGAACGAGACAGAGAACGAGACAGAGTGAGAGTGCGTGAGAGAGAGAGAGAGAGAGAGAGAGAGAAAGAAACAGCAATGTTGCTTCTTATCCAGACCCAGAGGTTACCACCCCTTTAAAGGAAGTCCAAGGCGCTCTTTTGTATCTTCTTGGCTAGGGATTTTCTCCAAAATTGTGTACATCTCATTTTTCCGTTGCGTAATCGGTTACGACGTTGCGTATCTCTTTCTCTCTCTCATCCTCTCTCCCTTTCTCTCGCTCTCTCTCTCTCTCCCTTTCTCTTTTGTCACCCTTCCTTTAATGCACTCCTCCGCAGTGACCCCAAAAACGGTTCGGCCCTCAAGGCGTCGGGGGTCCTACCTCAAAAGTGTTTGTCCGTCGTATATCACTCTGTTTGTCTGTCCGTTTGTCTGTCTATTTGTCGACAACGTCGCTATCGAGGGGAGTGAAATGTTATCCCCCTCCGGGGTCCTTCTTTTCTTTTTTCCACTTGAAGAGGTACACCGCCCTCCCATTGAACGTGTGAATTCCCACACACAACTACAGACAATAGCGCCCCCCAGGCTGTCAATTCACCACGCTCAGAAATGGGAGGAACAGAAAAAATGGGAGGAAGGGACGTATGGAAGAAGGTCGCGTATTGTTTTTGGGATTTTTTTGTTTGGATTTCTGGCTGCGTCCCACCAGGATTTTTGAGCACGACAAGGGGACATTTTGGACACCGAAAAAAGCTAAAAATTGATGGGTAGGCTTAGGCTTAAGCTTAGGATTAGGCTCAGGCCTAGGCTTAGTCTTACAAGGGAAGTGCACGACCGGCCCACGAGAAATCGACACGAGACATAGTGGATCTGATAAAAATCGGTAAAATCGCCCAAAATCGGACTTTTATGGGCCTGTAAAGGGCCAGGGAATGGAAATTTGCCACAACCCATTAGTGCATCTTGTTCAGCAGAAGACGCGCTTTCGAATGAGCTATCTTACTTCAAGTTGACGATGATTTCGCGAAAATCTCTTCTATGAATTAATT